ATGTGGACAACATTAAGAGGGTCCAGAGGAGGGCCACCTGCATGATCTGGGGACAGCAGGGCAGACCCTACAATGAGAGGCTACGGGACCTGAACCTGTTCAGCCTTCACAAGAGAAGGCTGAGGGGGGACCTGGTGACCGTCTATAAACTCACTAGGGGGGACCAGAAGGGTTTGGGGGGGACCTTGTTTCCCCTAGCGCCCCCCAGGATAACAAGGAATAACGGCCACAAGTTGTTGGAGAGTAGGTTTAGATTAGACATCCGTAAGAACTACTTCACAGTTAGGGTGGCTAGGATCTGGAACCAACTTCCAAGGGAAGTGGTGCTGGCTCCTACCCTGGGGGTCTTTAAGAAGAGGCTTGATGCCTACCTGGCTGGGGTCATTTGAGCCCAGTTTTCCTCCTGCCCAGGCAGGGGGTCAGACTTGAAGATCTACAAGGTCCCTTCCGACCCTACTTCTATGATTCTATGATTTGTGATAATATACACACACATTTATATTGTAAATATATCCAGGCAGAAAGACTGTTGGGTGTTTAAGGAACACTACTGACTTCATGTGAGATCATCAGCTGGGCTCTTTGACTTTACTTATGGTGGGCACCAGTCCATAAAACATGGAAAATGAGTGACAGGCCCCTGCCCAGTGCTACTGCCACAGCGTCATGGCATGCCCTGCACCTAACTACATTACATCTCACCCGCTCACCCACTACAACTTGAAGTTCAGATGATGACCCTGTACTTGCCTGGAGACACTTCAGTGGTTTCTTGTGGGCTGGATGTGATTATAGTGGTGTGTCTTCTGTGGGGCTCCTCCTTCTCTACCCCCCCCCCCTTTCCACTCGGGTGTGGCTGCAGGTGTTATGACGGTAGAGGTATTAGCTATGTGACGCGTCCCACAATGTTAGGCTGAGGCTGGTATCCTTTTGGGGTCCTTTTTCCCCCATCCTGGCCAATGTAAAGCTCAGAAATAATGTAAACCAGACTGATAAGATGAACTCAAAAACGGCTTGGACTGGTGGCCAGATAGGACACCAGTGCCTCACTGCCTTGAGCCTTGTCCCTTTCTTGGGGTTGTGGGTTACTTTGGACCCTGTGTCCCCTCACTCTCCTTATCAAGCCTCTTGAGCCTCCAGGAAGGTGACCTCTCCAGACAGCCCTTCTCAGTGTGTGCACCGGGCCAGGTATGGCTTTGCCTTGGGGTGGCTACCTTCATGCCCCCAGAAGGCCTGGGTTCCCTCCTGGGCATGAGTGGCACGTGGCCCCAGATCTGTGTGTGAGGTAAGAGCAAGCTGCCACTGTGGTCTGGGGCCAGGGCTGTGCCAGGCTCTTCCCAGCAGGGGGACTGGGCCGGGGCTGCTGGGACGGAGGGCTAAGGTGAATTTTGGGGTGGCTGTAGGGCCCCCCCATAGCCCCTCTCCCAGCACCACTGCCACCTACCCCAA